AACCAAATCAGTCGGAAAATGAAAGCTCTCTGTATATATCCTAAGTTTCAAACCAACCAGCAAGAAAGGTTTCAGCAGTCGAAGCATATAAGTGCGGTTGTCAAAAACAGAAAGCCTTGTGAGGTTGTTTAGCAATCTAATCCTTGAATTATCAATCAGCAAAATCTTTGAATCGATTAGCAGAACCTGCAAGTCATGTAGATACTTTTAGATGGATAATTTATGTTACTCTGTTGTTAATGAATACTCAAATCATTAATGAACCTTGTAAGTGACCATTAATTTGAGAAGCATTATGGACTCCAAGACTAGATCATCACTGAGACTTTTACGCTCATGTCTAAGATCCAGGCAATCTTTTAAATCAGTGAAATCATATGTCGGATACGATGCTCTTTCAAGAACATCTCGTACTGCACACAAGAGTGACTCTGTGCCGAGGGAATATCCGGTGACACTCTGTTTACATCTATCGCATAGAAGAGATGCATATCTGTTCCATTGCTCTTCCTGAAGATTCCTTCTTCTTTCATCTTCGCTCTTACACAAGTTCTCAATGACAGTAAGAGCTGCATCATAGTCTAAGACCTGCACTTTCTTTGCATATTTTGTTCCCAAAGTTCTACATGTGAACTGAACAGCTCTCAGAACAGCCACCCAGATATCAAGATTGTGTTCCCTGATAGGTCTGGGAAAGAACTTATCTACTGAAGAGTAGTCAACTAACCAGGATATAAAATCATCTCCCTTAGCATGTGCCTCGGCGTAGTGATTATCGGGATCAAAAACATTGACTGTCCCTTCATCATCCAATGGAGCACACTTGCTTTTCAACAGTCTTTTATCCAGAAGCAGAATTGAAAACTCAGGGTCAAAGTCCATCTTTTCATTAACTCGAGTACGATCCAAGAAACTGTCCACTGCTCTGCAAACCAGATCTGTGCCATCATCCCTTTCACACTTGATATTTTCTAGAATGTCTCGGATGTGAATGAGGTCATGACATTCCAAAAAACAGATACTCTGAGGTGTTTCCACTAGGTGAAAATCATCAAGAGTCTGTTCGGAAACTTCAAGTTTTCCAAGATGTCTAACCGGAAAACTTATCAGCCAGTTTCGAATGCTAGAGGAGAGAATTTTATGGTCACGAATCAACATAAGAAACGATTTGATTTCCTTGAGTAACTTTCTGCGCTCTTCGTCTACAGCTAAAGGCCATTGTTTGGACCATCCACTATTAGATTTAAACGTTTTCACATCTGCAAGCGGGTTCTTGATCATTTCAACGGCTGCTACTACATCCACTGGTTCCCAAGCTCCAGCCGATATCTTACGAGCCCAGTTTTTCCCTATCCTCTTGACCATATCCTTTTCTGAAGAAGGCTTAAAATCTGCATCATGTTCTTGCTCAAGATGATTCCTACATTCTTCAGCACTAGAAAACTTCTTTGAACATAAAGTTCGACACATCCAGAATGTCCATTTTCTGTCTTCCCTGGCAGAAGTGAGAATTTCTTCCAAAGCCTCTAGTCCCTTTCTGTTATGTACTCCCTCGGTAAAACTTAAAAGCTCTTCAATGCTTACTTTCAAAAGGTCCCTTTTGATCTTAATATCCAATCCCAACCAAAAGCTCCTCAATTCTTTCTTCTCATTCTTCAACGGGTCTGTACTCTTCTTTGACTCCCAAACTTTCGTTTCACCATTTTGAATAGGACAACCAAGAGCGATCATGGACTCTGCAACTTCGATTAAATCATTCAGTCCACTATTTTTCTCGTTCATTAGGATTTGCTCTTCCAAACTCAATTCAGAAACAGAAGCCGAGCCGTCTGGGTGAGTAACAGATAAACCTTGTTTAGCTTTCTCTTCGGATTTCTTGTAATAAAACCTTGACCCAATCTGTCCTGCTAATCTATAGAGTGAATGTGCACAACTTGGTGATGAGCCATGATCTTCCGAGAAGCATTCTACAGAACCCAACAAGTATGCAAATTTCACGTCAGGATTCTCTGCATTATCCGCTAGTTCCTCGAAAACTTTACCTTGTTGGAGACGAAGATACCATGCGTTCGTGTCTTCACTATGATCCAAAATCATATCTTCAAATATCTCCAAGGCCTTTATGTGATTTCCATTAGCGAGGAAACCTTTAGCAGTGGCGAGGCGTAATTTGCCCTCATCATCTTCCAGGAAAGAAGTCTCCATAGTTTCTCAAGATCCTTTCGCTTTCTTGGTCTCGAGAGCTTTTTTTCTTTTTTTCTTGAGAGAGAAATTTGTCAGAGTAGTAGAGGCGGGGAATATCAACGAACATAACGGCAAGGTACTCAAGAGTCTCGCTTTTATCACGTGAGAGCCACGTGGACAAGGCTTGGGGAAAAAGAAACAACAGAGACCCAATTTTGAGCATTGGGGAATTCTGTCAAACACCTTATGTGCATTACCCGTTTTGGGATTTCCCCGGAAAAAATACCAATTTTTTTTTGTGAATCTTCGAATTTGGCTAGAAAGACTGAAATGTAGAATGATCTTCATATTGGGAATGAACAAAATTCGTGGAAATGTTTAGACTTGATTACTTGAAAGAGCTTTCTTTTCGATTTGTTTTTCAAAAAAAAAAGAAAAAACTTTATTTTCGGAGGCTGTGGAGGGAGAAGAATCAAGACTAATAGCTTCAAAAAATCAAAATGGTAAACATTGGGGCCAAAGACGAATTTTTGAAAGATTGGGTGTTATACCCAAATCCACTTTTAGTATAATGGGCCTCACTTTTTAAAATTTAGGCTCAATTTATCTTCCGACGTCGGTTAGGGGTTCTATTTGATTTTTATCACCTGAGACTTCGAGGTTTATCGCTCCGCCTCCGTCCTCAGATTTGGGTCGGCGAAAAACCCTAATTCCTCGATTCCGACACGATTACATCAACATATTCTTTGTGGTAAGATTCTCAATTTGATTTATTGTCTCTCTGTTTCAGATTCTACGTTATGTTTTTCTTCCTTCTTCTTTCGGGATTCTGTAATAATAGATCTTTAGACCGTACTTACGTTTCAGGTAGCTTAAGGGTTTCGAACGAGGAATTACGCTTCAATCTTCGGTCTGATTAATCTCTTTCAATGGTATGTAATTTCCCGACCGATTGTTTCTTTACTTGCAAAAAAAAAATCCCACATTTTCTTTCTTTCTGATTAGACCCAGTTTTATCTCAGTGATTGATTACTATTATTGCAAATTTCTTATAGTTATAAGTGAAATTGATTGCTTGTGGCTTGTGAAATTTCCTGAAGTTGAGAAATTTTTGTTTACATAGGGAATTTTTGTTGTTTCTGATGTATCTTTATAGATTAGGGATTATGTTTTTGGCTTAATTTCTTATGCAGGCTTCAAGAATTCTTGCTGGTTTGCTTGTTGGGGCCTCTACAACTTTACTCAGGGCTTGTGCTCAGGCTTATCGTCAGGCACTTGCAAGTATGTCGTTTTAACCTATAATGCTTTAAAAAGCTTTCTGCTTTGAAGAACTATTTTGCAATAAATTGTGTTTGAAATGGTCATAGATGCATCGAAATCGGGTGTTGCGCACGAAGCAGTACAGAATGTTAAGAGAGGAACCAGAGGGATGGGAGTAAGTGAAGCAGAAGCTAGACAGATTCTTGGTGTAACCGAGAAATCATCTTGGGACGAGGTTCTAAAGGTTTGTTGTCTGTCTCCTATTCGCGTATAGCCACAAACTTATCATTCCATGATACCCTGTATTCGATTATTAACATTGTGTATCTAATTATGTTGCAGAAATACGACAACTTGTTCGAACGCAATGCACAAAACGGAAGCTTTTATCTTCAATCAAAGGTTCATAGAGCTAAAGAATGCTTAGAGGTTGCTTACCAGAAGAAACCGGATGCAATTACAACTTCCGCCTAAAACAAACAATAATGATGTAGTAATCAAGAAAAAGTTTAGAAGTGTGATGATACTTGCAAGTGTTAGTTTCTTGATTTCTCTAAACCGGCTTTTGGCCAACAAGTTTGAAATTGAAGTGAAAGACGGTGGAGAGAAAATCACAATGCCGCAAAAGTTGAAAATACAGGTCGGTCGGTGAGGCCGGCGTGCGGACACTCACCGGCCGTTGTTAAAAGTCAAAAAAAACAT